CTAATTTAAATAAATAAATACAACATTATTGTGTCCTTTCAAGTCATTTCCAACTTATGGAAACCCTATAACAGGGTTTTCTTGGCAAGATTTGTTCAGAGGGAGTTTGCCATTGCCTTCTGCCAAGGCTGAGAGAGTGTGACTTGCCTGAGGTCACCCATTGGGTTTCCATGACTGAGGAGGGGGAATTCGAACATCTCCGGAGTCGTAGTCCAATGCTTAAACCACTACATCACACTGGCTTTAGAAGAAAAGGGAACATGTTCACCTGAACAGGGACTTTTTTACTAATAAGATTTTACTAATAAGATTTTACTAATAAGGTACTTGTTATCTTCCATAAACTTAGCAAAGTAAACCTACTGTTGGTGAAAGTGTAATTTTTTTATTTGTTATTTTTTCAGTTTCATTGAAAACTGCCACCCAAAATTTTTGGACTTTTGGACACTACCACCACATGTGAAAGAATGTATTTATAGCAATAGAGCTTCTCTAACATTTGACAGATATTGGGATTTTTATATTACTGAGTTTCTGTGGAGTACTGTATCATTGATAAATCATTTTAAAGCATTGGCTGGATGGCAGGTTGGAGATTGTAAGCTCTAAGGCAAGACAATATGTAAGGTTTTTACATCTAAGGGAGATTGAAAATGAGTTTTTTTCCTAGTGAATTTAATGTTCATCTCTCCTTCCAAGAATCCCATTCGTTACATTCCAGAAGGAATGAGAGATGAATTCTCTGTATCTGGAATAAATTGCATCCATCCTCTTTAAAGTGGACATCAGATGATGACTTGTTTAAATCGTTTGTAAATTTACTGGGCATGTCTGTAATCCCCAGTGTCAGTAAAATCTGCAGTTCTTTTGTGGCTGGGGAATAAATCCTCATACAGTGCAGTCGTGAAACACATGCCCTGAAACATTTTCACCACTTGATGATAACATAACAATTTTTGAAGACTTTTAAAAAAATGTATTATTATGGAAGAGATTTAAGAAGCATGTGATCACAGGATTAGCTCCAAAATGTTGGGTTTGGAAAGCAGATGCACAAAAGCAGTTAAATCCTTCTGCACAATACTGTACTAGAATCAGAGCTTGGAAAAGTTCGTTCCTTTAGACTTCATTTCCAGAAATGTCCCTGTTAGCTTGGCCAGTCACAAAAGTAATGTGTCTGAGCTCTCACTAGAATGGGCTGTGAGACTGGTTGAAACAATTTCCTAGCGGCCCTGTGTCTGTTGTGGTATGTCTAGCACCAGGATTGGACATTTGCAAAGGGTCACAACCTCACAGGGGACTTAACAGAGAGAGACTGCTTGAACTGATGCTCTTCCTTTTCACTTTTGCCATTTTCCACATGTTTGCTTGTCAGATGGGATGGACAAATTAGTGGTAGTGGTACTAAGGATGTAGAAAAGGAGCAGCTTCTGCAATCCTTTGAGTATCTTGATGTTAGTTTATTCTGAGGACAACGATGCCCTGTAAATAGGATAGGGGTACACTGAAAGAGTAGCCCACATACTAAGAACAATTTTTGTACCCTCTTTAAATCTGAATCTGCCACTTCTTCAAATGCTAGAAACTTACATGAATTCCAGTGTGTTTTTAAATGGAAAATAGTGATTGCAGGAATTAATTATTTGTAGAGCTTATATTGAGGCAAACATCCATAGTGGAAGCCACTTGGCGAAAACATTGGTTGAAAATATGATAATCATTCTAATGAGAATCAGGATTATTTTGAAACTTGCAAAGAAAATTGTCTTTAAAAGAAATCTAATTGAAAAGTCATGTTATTTTCTCATTTGCACATATGTGGCGAGAGGAAAATATGATCTTTCTGTCTTTTGTTTCTTCTTTAGGTTGGTTTTGCACTTGGTAATGTAGTTGGGATGTATCTTGCCCAGAACTATGATGTAAGTATTTTGCTTTTTTGCTGCTAAGTTTGAGACAATCCCCCTTTGCAGATGGCGTTTTGCGCCGTCTTGGAGGCAAGGAAGGGGAGGGGCAGCCTCATGCCGGGTGCCCCAACCCCTTCCCAAGGACGTCATCGGAGTGCCCGCTATTGCAGACAGTGGGTGCTCTGATGACGTCCTTCCAGCTCAGCGTCCAGACACGCTGAACTGGAAGAGGCACAAAAGAGCTGCATGGCAGCTCTTCGGGTGCCCCTTTTGTAGCTTGTGGAAGGAGTGCTATTTTAGCGCTCCTTTCCCAGGCGGCGAATGAGAGGATTGGGGCCAAGGTGTGAAATTGCCAGAAATAGTGCACTTTAAATTGAGGCACTGCCCTGGCTCAGTGCTAGGGAATCATGAGAATTGATTTTTTCTGAGACAATGAGCCTTCTCTGTCAGAGAGCTCTGGTGCCACAATAAAATACAATTCTCATGATTCCCTAACACTGAGCCAGGGCAGTGCCTCAATTTAAAGTGCACTATTTCTGGCAGTCTGCAAAGGCCTATAGATTCATGGAGAAAAAGATACATACTCACATATCTAAGTAATTAAGCAGATGGGAAATTGGATTTTCAATGTATTAGAAATATGGGTAAGCTGGCATACACAACTAGTTTCTGCTGTACCCATTTCTGCTGAAAGACATCCTCTTGAATTAATTCTTGGAGATTCTGATGTTCACTTCCTGTTTTTTAATAGGTTCCGAATCTCGCAAAAAAACTTGAAGACATCAAGAGAGATGTGGAAGCTAGAAAGAAACCCCCAAATGACAAATGATGTTGACTTAGCCCCCTCTATATTAAATGTAGATGATACAGATTGTCACTGGGCCACAGGTGCCAAACCTTAATGTGGTTTTTGTGGATTCCTTCTAAGTCTAATCTTGGAGAACCTCCACTGCCCTCAGCTGACGTGTTGCCTGATCCCATGGGACCTTCCAGGAAATTTGACCTTTTTACTATCCCCAAATGAAGAAAACCAGAGGATACGGAGAAATTGAATTTTTGTTAATGTATGTACTCAGTATTTTGTAGTCAATATTAATGTGTTGTAGGTGTGGAGGAGTAATGAAATGTGTTTATTATTCAATTCAACATACAATGTTGCTGTTACAAGGGCTCAAGAATGAAATTGAAGGGAATCAATCATGAATGAGCATCCAAAGATACCTCTTTCCAAATTTACTTGGGAGCACAGCTTTACAGTCCCTTATAATAACTTGTTTATAAATATACCAAATCACTGATTAAAATTCTCTTTTTTCCTGAATTGAGTGCTTGCTGAATTTTGCTTTGTCGGGTGTTGTGCCTCACATAGAACACATAGTCAACTGTTAAACAAGCAAATGAGAGGTATGAAACTCAGTTTTGTGAATTGTTTTCACCCATTCTCTTCCTGTCTCATGGATATTTTGTTCAGTAGCTTTCATGAATTACATTAAGTAACTCTGTATTATACACTCCAGTTCTGCAATAGAGTCCTGTAATGATTTGTTGATGGCCAAGGCTTTACATCACATTGTGTAATGTTTGCTGTATGTTTTTACTAGCTTGATTATAGAGTAGCTTTTCTTCCAGTAAATATTGCCGCTCAGAGGATGATATGCTAAACGCTTCAGGAGTCTTGTGGGACCTTGTAATACTGTAGAGCAGTGATGGTGAACCTTTTAGGGGCCACATACCCAAACTAAAAGGCCTTCTGGCACCAGGTGTTACCAATGGGACTTCCGGAAGGGAAATGGAACAGACTTCTGCCCTCTGGGGGTGGGACTTCTTCCCCCCACCATCCCAGACCTTTATTTGCCTCTCTGGAGACAGCTGAAGGCCTGGGGGACAAGGGAGGAAGAAGAGGAACAGGTTCACACCTGTTTCTACTCCTCCTCACCCTCCACAGAAAATATGGCTTCATGTGCCCTCGGCTTGCCACCATGGCTATAGAGGGCCTGATCCACTCAAATCCAGCCAAATTAGATTCAAGGGTGTGGTGAAGCCAAACAACCCATTGTTGATGCTAAATACAGTTTTACTGATTACAAGTAGATGGCAAATATAATGCTGGAGGACAGTTCTGTGGATACTACAGATTGCCAAAAAACGAATAAACAAACAAACAAAGGGTCCAAGGGCAAACCAGGTGAATTCTCCCTAGAATCAACATGACTAACTGAAACTTGTATTTTGAGCATATCATGAGAGGACATAACTCAGTAAAAATACAATAATGCTTGATAGGGTAGAAGGCAAAAGTAGAGGAAAAAAAGGAAAGCTGCATTACAGGTGGATAGACTCAAGGAAGCTCCGGCCCTGAGTTTGCAAGACCTGAGCAGGGCTGTTGATAACAAGGAATGACTTGGAGTCTTGTTCATAGGATTGCTTATGTCAAAGTGCACATATGTTAGCAAAGTGATGGCAAATGGATGGCATACCAATAATAAAAGCAAAGAAAGTTATCTCCCATCCCTCCAGCTGAAACCAGATGTATATTTGGCCTTGAGAATGCAAAGGATACCTTGTACCTCTGAGCCACTACGTGGCCACTAGAACTCCCTCTGGGACCAAGACAAAGGAGAACTCTAATAGGTGGGGATTATGTAGCTCACCATAGCTTACATAGCTTTTGAAGCTATAGTGAAATCACAGATTAGGAGTTGGGAAGCATCATTTTTCTCCCTGAAGACAGGTATGTTCTGTTCTGTGCTGTCAGTCCAAGTGGTGATAAGAAGATGCCTGTTCTCAGGGAGAAAAGTACTCTTATCAGTAGCAGTGCTCACTTAGCTACTGACAATTTCTAAAATGATTCCAAGCTTCTAGTCTTTTTACCTGCATGGCTTATCTCAGAGCTTACAAGGAGTTATGGAAAACCTAGGCAGAGAGAAAGAGGCCTACTAAACTAACTTAGGTATGTTTTTAAGCAACTTGAAATACATACATGTATATAGCTCTTCTTTTTGTTTATATCCCACCTTTCCCCCAGCCCACAGTTAAACATAGTTAAAAATTCACAGCATACAATTTTTTAAAAAATATATAAAATTAAACCTGGGAGCCAGTGTGGTGTAGTGGTTAGATCACTGGATTATGTTTCTGGAGACCAAGGTTTGAATCCCTGCTTAGGTGTAGAAACCCACTGGGTGATCTTGGCAAGTAACATTTTCTCAGCCTCAAAAGAAGGCAAAAGCAAACCCCCACTAAACACATGTTACCAAGAAAGCCCCATGGAAGGTTTACCATAAGTCAGAAAGGATTTGAAGGCACACAACTATCACGAGACAAATTAACCACCAACAACAAATAAAAGTCCAAGCACAATGTATGAGACTGGTTTCCCTAAAGAATTCTCAAAAACCCTGCCAGAATAAAAAGGTTTGAGGAAAAATTGTGAGGAGGGTGCCAGCCTACCTTTTTTAGGAGGGGTATCCAAGTGCCTTGGGCAGCAGGGTTGAGGAATGGAGAAATGCTCCTTGAAACAGGTAGGTTCATATGGGAGAATAATGTCTTTCATTTGACCTGGACCTGAGCCTTGAAAGGTTTTCTAGGTTCTTGTCAACAGTTTAAATTGTGCCTGGAAAGAGATGGGCAGCCAGCCCCTGTTAATTTGAGTGCAGCTGTTTGGACGAGTTGAAATTTCCAAACATTTCCAAAACAGCCCCATGCAAAGCATATTACTGTAATCCAAACAGGATGTAACGAAGGCATGTGTCACCGTGACCAAGTCTGGCATCTCAAGGAACATCATAATAATGATAAGGGATGGATTTAGAAACAACTACTTTCTTCCTTACTGGTTTTCCAGAAACCCTATCCACTACACAACTTAAAAAGTCTAACATGTTTTATTTGGCATAAGTTTCCAAGGGCAGCAACTCATTTCATCAGCTGTAGAGAGAGATGTCTCAATTGGCAGATTATTGTATACATACTTGGGTGAGATAATGTTGGTGGAAGATTTAATCAATTGAATGTGAAGGAATTGAAATGCAAAAAAGTACAAATATTCATAATTGTCTTAATGGTAGCCCAAACATCCTGCCATTGATAAACATTGATCCATGTTTAATCACTATCCTATTTAGCTCCCATGAGATAGATCTGAATCTCTTAGGAAATTCTTGTTTAAGAATTAAAATCAGTGGAGTCCTAGGGACTAGAAATTCAGAAAATACAAACAGTGACAATTTTCTAAAGAGTGGTCATGAACACTCTAGTGGCACACAACCTGGTACATGGGGAGCATTTATCAGCTGATAAATGCATGAAAGTAGGCCCTTGGCATCTGATGGGGTTTGGTTCCAGGATCTCCCCTGGATACCAAAATCTGTGGATGCTCAAATCCCATTAAATACAATGCTGCAGTAAAATGATGACTTATATAAAATATTAAAATCAAGGTTTGCTTTTTGGAATTTATATTTTAAATATTTAAAATTGCATATTTTGAAAATATTTTCAAGCTGTGGGTGGTTGAATCTGTGCATAAAGAATCCATGGATACAGAGGGCCAACTGTAGTGGGATAAAAATATGTTGACCCTATTCAAGCCACAGAGGATAGAAATGAACCTCCTGGAGAATTCTTGTTTCAGAATCTTGTTTTTTTAAAATTTATTTGTTAAGGACAAATGCCTTAAGGTAAGAGATAGCACTGTTTGGTTTCTAAATTGCAATTTCTGGTGTCAGATTTGCATCTCTCTCTCTATATATATATATTGCATACAGAGAGCCCTGTTTCTCCTGTGTACCATTCACTAGGGCATTGATGGCAACTATTATCTTGAAGGATGAACCCCCTGATGTTGTGGATGACATTTATTAGGCCATGTAACAGTAATACCAGAGTAGACATGTGGGTCTGGTTGACATGTAGGTATGCCACAGGGTCTGTTTACTATGTCTGCAAGATTTAGCAACAGCACAATTCCTCTTTCAAAGGATATTAAATGTTTTGCCTGTACTACACTTGAATTCCTTCCAGACATAACTTTATTAGTGCTTTCTCTCTGTCTCTCTTCTTTTCTTTCTGAATGTTGTTCATACTGTTTACGCTACAGGGAATAGTGGAGTGTTTTCATATCTTTATGTTTTTGCCAGCTAATGAGAGGGTTGACAAGAAGTTGACTTTCAGATAAGAAAGTCTTTTTTAACCAAAGCCAAAAAGAAACTGGCACTCTGTATACTGTATCTGTTCTCACTGAGGCAAATTGAATTGATTTCTTATGTCCTTTTCAAAATCTTCAGCCCTCTTATACTTCAATAGCAGCTCTCTTTTAAAAGTGACTTTTGGGTTTCTGTATCCTCAGAAGCTGTTTTACAAGACCGTGTGTCTGTCATGGTGACCAAATTGTGATACAAAGGCTCAGATGGAAATATTAGAGCAGAGCCCCATCCCTGGCAGAAGCCAGTCCTATACCTCCATGGGGAGGGGACCTCCTCTTCTACCTGGGTACATTCCCTCAGTCCCCATTGAACACCACAGGCCCCCAAACTCTGTTATTTAATAAAGTGATAAATCTGGAACACATCTAGATAGGTCTTTCAAGGCAAATGTGTTTGCATTATAGTGATGGGATGTGTCTATGTGTGTGTAACAGAGAGAATGAGAGAGATCAAAACAGATGATCTTGTAACACCAGTCCATTTATTCTCCATAAGGACATAAGAAGAACCCTGCTAGATCATGCAGGGCTGTATCAAAACTAGTATCCTATTTAATACAGTGGTCAAATGGATGCCTGAAGGAAGCCATGAGCAGTAACTTATGTCTCTCTCTTTTTCCCCAGTATACTGTCTCTGATCCTGAAGATAGCAAATGGGTGTCACAATTTTGATAGTCTTGTCCTCCTAAAATTCCTCTTGAACCCCCTTTAAAAGCTATTGGTGGTGATCAACACTGCATGCAGTAACAAATTCTATAGTTTGTTGGAATCCTAATATTTAGTTTCAGTAGATGTTCCTGGTTTCTAAAACATGACAGAAAAATTCCCCTACACACATTCTTTACACCATGAATAATTCTATAAACTTCTTCATGTTTCCTTTTATTTGTTGCCCCTTAATAAGAAGCCGTGCATTCCCAGGCAAGTTGCTCCAACCCCTTGATTTGGTTGTCCTTTTCTCCAGCTTACCCATGTCTTAAGGTAATGGTAAAGGTAAAGGTATTCCCCATTGACAAGGTTGTCAACTTGTGTCCAACCGTAGGGGGAAAAAAATGGTGTGAATAGCCAGAAAAGGGAAAGGTAGTTGTAACCAACTGTAGGGGGTGCCGAAGAGCCAGCATTGTCAGAGACTACTCTGTGATCATGCAGCCAGCAGGACTGCACAGAAGACTGTTACCTTCCCACTGAAGTGGTACCTATTTATCTACTTGCATTTGCATGCTTTTGAACTGCTAGGTTGGCAGAAGCTGGGACTAGTGATGGGAGCTCACCCCATCATGCAGCACTTGGGCCTCGAACTGCAACCTTCCAATCTTACAATTGTCAGAACTGGCATCTTAACCACTAAGCCACCGCATAGCCAAAATAATCGGAGCAGCCCCACAAACCCACTCCATGCATTCATTCCACAGAGGAAGTTATGCTCTTCCAGCCTCACACTTCTGAAATATAAACAGTATTTGTATCATTTCAGTGGATCAAATACAAACATGCTTTTTGATTGGGTGGTAGTTATCTACCGCACTAATTCAGAAACTTCATAGCACTGAAACTAATGGAAAGCTTAAGCCTGGATTGTCATTGGCTTTCTTCTTCTTTAACAAAATGGTAAAAGAATTTCAGAACCATTAATAAGAGGTTGTGTAATCTGTTTGGGTAGATGTCTTGGCTCCCTTCTTATGTGTCCAGCTGACCAGGCTTGCGTACCAAATTTTCATCTGGAAATAGTTTAAATTGGAATGTCTTTTGATGATCAAATCAAGTATTCTAAATTGCCTGGGAGAGGCTTTTAAAAAAAGTTGTTTCTGTTTGTTTGCAACTTGTTCTGCTTATGAAAATATTTTCATTTATTGCCAAATAGCTATTGAGTTACAACTCAGCCACTGGTTCCTTCTCCCTCTCCCACTGTGACTGGTAGATTTGTTCTAATAATAAGAGAAAGAGGACCACCTACTATAGTTTCTGAAATTTATCATTGAGCAGAAAATACAGAGCAGAGGTATCTAAGCTCTAGGAACCCAGGGCCCATTCACACTACACAATTGTAGCATTCTTATTCCACTATAGCTGTCATGGTTCCATCCTATGGAATCCTGGGATTGGCAATTCAGGGAGGAGTATTTAGAATATCAAACCAGAGTGCTCCACTGCCTCATTGAACTACAAATCCCACATTTCCATATGACAGAATCATGGCAACAAAAGCATAGCACTGTACTTATATAGCATGAATGGATCCTGGAGAGGATATTTTCCTGGTTGCAGGCTCCTTCTTTCCAAACTGGAAATGACTAGCAAAGTTGATGTGGGGAAAACCAATTCCCAGTTTGGAAATAAATTGATTTTTTAACTACATAGAGTACATCTACACTGTAGAAATAATGCAGTTTGACACCACTTTAACTGCTATGGCTCCATCCTAAAAAATCCTGGGATCTGTAGTTTGGTTAGGCACCAGCACTCTGACAGAGAAGGCTGAAGATCTTGTAAAACTACAAATCCCAGGATTCCATAGGATGGAACTATAGTACATAAAGTGGTGTCAAACTGCCTTATTTCTACACTGCAAATGAATGCTGAAAGGTTGTTTTAGGGAAGAAGCATAGCCCCTCAGAGTTGTGGTTCTTCCTGTCTAATAATAATAATAATAATAATAATAATAATAATAATAATAATATTGTGGGATGTGGAGGATATGAAAACAATCTTGGGAGGACTGCATAGGCTCCATGACAATGAATGTCAGCTTTATCAAAGAGAGTGGGCTAACCTTCTCCATCCTGGTGTTTTCCCTGTAGTGCTGAATGAATTAACTTGACAATGCAAGCCAACACATCTGAAGGGTGCCATAGCCGAGTTCACTATGTATAGGCATCCCTTTCCCCAGTCCTTAGGCTTAGAAGTAGATTAGCATGGACAGTTCTGCCAATTAAATCCTTGATGAATTGCAGCCTAATGCCTGTGG